AGTTAAAATTCATAATAACACATACAGAAAATAAATTTGTAATATATCAGAGAAGAAATCCTAACATACAGGATTATCACTGTATTATAATTCTATATTAAACATATGAGTGAAGTTCTTTTCAGCAACCTAGCGTTAAGAATGACTATAACTTTTAAATTAGGTATACTAATCAAACACGTGTCTAGGGTAGACCCCAAGCCCGGCTCATCTGTGTCTCTCAGCCTCCCAGCCCCCAACTCCCTCATCATCCTCTGAGTTACTGACTGTAGCAACAGAAAAACTGTGCAGTTAATGGTTACAGCTAATTAACTGACATTACCTTAAAGTAAGAGTGCATTCCATCCTTCTTAAAGTAAGAATATAACAAAATTAATGGGATTCTTAGTCTTTATTTACCTAAACTATTGTCGAGTCTCTGATACATTCAGGATCCTCCCCACAATGTTAGTAGATCTGAAAAGATATTTACTTGTACTCTTAAATTATAATTGTCTTAAGGGAAATGTTAATCATCTTAAATTACTTTTTTCACATTCTACATGGCTCTAAGACCTAAAAATTTTGAAAAAAGGAAACATGGGCTGCTCACGTTGATGTGCTTATTTTCCTCTAACTTTTTGCTTTCTTTCCATGAAAACAGTACGTATTGCAGACAACAGAAGCCTTTCTGAGAGAGCACGCTATGCCTCACTAAACCACAGAGCAAGGTGAGCCTCTCGTCTGCCCTAGGAGACTTACTCACCTCCGTCTCCTCCCTTCCCTGCAGCACGCCTCGCATTTTGGGAAGAAATGCAAACATGTATTTGCTAAATGACTACTGTACATTTAACACCACTGCTAGGCATCATGAGGCTGTAAAAGAAGGCACGGTTCCTACTCTGACAAAGTCTACAAAGCACCAGAAATGACTATTTTCTTTACCTTGACTGTATTTTTTAGTCTATGTTTTGTTCTGAACTTTGAGAGGAACAATAAAAGGTAAACAAAGTGCCTTAAGTCAGAAAATAGCTCAAGTTACATTATTTAAAAGTCTAGGGGAAAAGAAATATTGATGAAAACAAACACTATAAGAGTCTAATTAACTGTGCTCTTGTTATGCAACTAAATCTTGTTTAGTAAATAAGAAAGAGAATTCAGAGGTTTGTTCACATTAAAAGTAAACATAATATATCGGGGGTGGGGGATAGGGCAAGGGGGTGGACAGAGTATAGACTGTAAACAGTAGAATTCAACTTTTTCCATTAAGGGAATGACAAGCATGGGCACATGTACACAACTCTCAGCATTATTGCATGCACATACATACCCAGGTAAGGACACACAGGTATTTTTAATACATACCTACTCCTGTTTTGCTGGAGAGAAAAAAGGCTAGACTAAGTACATATAAACACCTCAGTTTTCTAATAGAAAAGAATCTACCTCCCAATCACTCTCAATTTTTTTCCTTAAGTTCTGAAAACAAAATAAACAAAAATATTCTCACAATGTTTGGCCACTAAAACTTATTACGATAGTCACAGAATGATCTTTAGTCCTTTACTCAATGACTATTTGCTTTCAATTTTGCACTGTTCTAGCTGTTTGATTATCTGGCCTCACATTTTATAAGAGGAGTGTCGCTATAGGAGGATACTCCAAAAGCCAGACCTCCCTCTCCCTCAATGTCCCAGCAAAAGAAGGTGCAAAAACAGCTTTAGAAAAAAAACAATAGCCTTTAGGACATCATGAAATCACAAATTAACACTCACTGATGTTTCAGATAACTTATGTTTTTTAAAAAATTCAACATATGATATTTAAAAAATAGAAAGCTTATATTTTGTTAAAATTCAAGAAAACTGCATATAGAAGAAATACTAAGGAACAAATTCAGCTGTAGTTCAACCCCCAGATCTGAGGCATTTCAAAAGCAAACAGGGGTGACAGGCAGTTTCCAGGCCTAAAGACCTGCTTTATCCTCCCCTCATTAGAGCTATTAAAGAAAAAAGGGGAGAAGCTGCTCCAACAAAAGCAAGAAAACAAAAAAATTCTTCTTATAAGTAGAAGTTTTCAGCTAAATCATATCTGTCTACTGCTTGAAATAACTGAGACCAAGAACAGTATCTCTTTACAGTTTTAAAGAATTAAATACAAAAGATAAAAATGTTAAGAGTTTCTTTACAGATTTTATTTTAGACAAAGCTAATTACTGAGTTGAAACTGAAGCTTGATGACAACTGTGGAAAACCCCAAGCAGGGTATTTCTAGGCTCTCTATGAATATAAATAATATCCTTGAGAATAAATGCAACTTTTTTTTTCAGTATAGTAAGAAAGGTCTAAAGAAGAGAAGACGAGACAGTGACAATACCATTCTCAAAGTAATGACTTCTAAACTTCAACCTCTGGAACTCTGACCCTGTTCATACAAATGGCAAACCCACACCATAAACTTCCTGCCAATTGTTTCCATGTGCGTATCTTGTCGTCATTTCAAATTAAACACCGAGTTAAGAGAACAAGTTCCCAACCTTCATCCCTCGTGACCTTCAGGCCAAACCAGCTTCCTCTGTCAGTTTCCCAACTCCTGCCATGCAGCCTTGAAACCACTGCCCTTCTCTTTCTCTGGTAATGGCGTGATCCTAGTCCAGGCTTTTTACAAGGGCACCTGAAGAGGGTTTTTAAGTCACAATTCTCTATTCCCAACTTTAAAAAATTTCCAGTGCCAAAGATAAAGATATTTTCATCTGTGGATGTGAGATCTGTCTGACATGTACAATTTATCATTTTCCCCCTCTTCTTTCCTCACTGCTCAGTGTGGCTCCTGAGTCTGAGTGACTGTTGTGATGAAGAGTGAGAGAATAAATGTAAAATGCCTAGTAAATAACAAATAAGTGCATTCCCTGGTTCATGTCTAAATCTGGAGATCTACTGCCACGTTTCAAAAAGAGCCATATAGTAAGAGAGTTACAGTTACACAGCCATTATTTATCCCTGTATAATTTGCTGGCAAGAACCAAATAAGCATGGGTGGTTTAGGGACATTAAATACTTCAAAATAAGCTTATCTCCCTTTTTATAAAAGCAAGATAACCTTTCATAGAAAATGTTTAAAATACAGAAAAATACAAAATACAAAAAATATCCATAATCTCACTATTCAGAGAATAGCACACAACAGATACCATTAGGTTCCAACAGAACACAATTACCATTTTAAACATTTCCTAAAATCATTTCCTCTATTAGCAGAGGTCCTGGACCCTCAAATTAGATGAATTCCTTTTTCTCCATTCAAATCAGCTTTAGGTAGAACTCATAAAATGCTAGCACACTTTATGCAGCACTATACTGTACAGTGCTGATTTAGGGCAGTATGTAAAAAATATTTTTATATTTGAAATATACATCTATATTTAAGTATTGACATATTCTTATCCTTCAAAATATTAAACCAAATGACCAAAACGAGCGCTACAGAATGTGCTCAGCTAATGAAACTAAAAGGCTCACTGTGTTCTTGCCTGAATAGCGCTGAGCAACCTGTCTGATGACTCAGCTGAGATTTCCTTTACTGACAACATAATGGTTTCAGTGTAATAGAAAATCAGTACTTTTCATGCACTGTGGCTAAAGAATAAAAAAGTAAGAGACAGTCCTGGTCTCAAGGAAATCTATGCAGCTCTTATAGTAGCCAGAAGAGTTTCTAAGGAAATATTAAAGAAGACAAGAAGTCACCAGCCCAGGTTGGGTGCATGAGACAAGTGCTCGGGCCTGGTGCACTGGGAAGACCCAGAGGGATCGGGTGGAGAGGGAGGTGGAAGAGGGGACCGGGATGGGGAATACATGTAAATCCATGGCTAATTCATTTCAATGTATGACAAGAACCACTGCAATGATGTAAAGTAATTAGCCTCCAACTAATAAAAATAAATGGAAAAAAAAACACAACAATGAATATTCAGAAAAGGAAAAAAAAAATAAAAAAAGAAGACAAGAAGATATCAAGAGACAGAACTGAAAAATACTAAGAAGGTACCTGGGAGAAAGCAGAGCTGAAGTTCTATTATGCCTTCAGAGGATGTGAAAAGCACAGAATGGACCACCAATGTGCAGTTATGAGACCCTATTTCTCAGGACGCCACACCTCTCCTGTACTGAGTTCCCGACTCGGAGAACTGCAATCCTTCTCTGCAGGTGATGTTAAACACTGGAACCTATTCTCTACTTAAACCAGAGCCCCTAGCCTGTTATTACATGACTCTACCTTCAACAAAAGCTACAGTAAGTCCATATCACCTCTCACTGCTCTAGGTTTTGGATGTGTTCATGTTACATGAAAATAATCTGGAAAATTGATTTCTTAGCTTGTTTCTGTTAGGTTATGCTAACTGCAGCCCTAACAGAACCTTTCAGTTACTCTTCATTTATTAGGTACTGAGAAAAATGCTGTTTCCTTCCTGAAATCTGTATCTACCATTAATAAAAAGTTTTCAAAATGTTCAGAACAGAATCTACCATTATGTAACTTTTTAAAGCACTTGATACCAACACCAGTCTGAAGATCAACATCAAGTATTTTTTGCCAACTGTTACATGTGAAAGACTGGAACAGCACAGCTGATGATGACTTTAATGACAGAAAGGTGAAGAAAGTAAATATACTTTATACACTTATAAACACGAAAACAGTTTATAAATGGAATTTCATCTCCAACAATTCTAAAGTTGACCCTTTAACAACATGGGTTTGACCTGTGCAGGCCCACATACACGTGAGGTTTCTTCAGGAGTAAATACTACCGCACTGCATGATCCATGGTGGGCTGAGTCTGCAAACGTGGAGCTGCAGACACAGGACAACCGTGGGTTCAGGGAACCAACTGCGTTACACACGGACTTTCAACTGCATTGGAGGGTCAGTGCCCCCAATCCCCAGGTGGCTCAAGGGTCAACTCTATAATGAAGGAGTTAACAGAGACAAAAAAAATTTCAGAAGGTAAAGAATACATTTACCTTATTTTCTTCTAGAAATTTTAACTTGACAGAAACATCATTGCGCATTTTATCGTACTTTTCCTTATGTGCTTGGAACAGATGCTGTGATTGCTCAATCTTTGGCAGAGTGTTTGCATCACGTGGTCCAAGATTCAGTTCTTCCAAATCAGTACGATATGCATCATATTCAATTCTGGAAAGAGGAGAATAAGTGAAGCACACTACAAAGACAGTGTGAAGTAAGTTCAGGAGGTGAAGTGGAGCTACCCAACAGTGCCATATTATATATTAATATATAATAATCCTCATAGATATTTGATACTTTATGCCTTTAAAATCAAGTATCTTCTTACAAAGAGCTATTAATATAAGCATGGTGGTAGGGGAGCTACTTCTTTTTTTTTAGAGGGAGGGGGGACTACCTCTTAATCTCATTAACTCTTCCTTTTCAAGCACAGTATCAACTGACAAGTAAAATTTCCACAATTTAAAAACCAGGTTAGGGACTTCCCTGGTGGTCCAGTGGTTAACAAGTCTTGCTTCCAATGCAGGTGGTGTAGGTTTGATCCCACATTAGGGAACTAAGGTTTCCTGTACCACAAAAGCATAGCCAAAAAAAAAAGTTAACTTCATCTCTTTAACAGTATGTTTTATTTTACCCAATATATCCAAAATATTATCACTGTAATACACAGTGTAAAAAATCTGTTAATGAGCTACTGCACTTTTGGGGGATGGCAGACTGAGTCTCTGAAATCCACTGTTTAAGTTTCCATCACGTCTCACTTCATGTGCTCCATGGATACCTGTGCTGAGTGGCTCCCGCACGCACAGCACAACTGCAGGTGGGCGTCCACAGCACCAGGATTCAGAGTGTGACCACGGCTCTCCCCTGGAGCACTTCATCACCTCACGCTCCCTGAGATGCCTCCCCCTCATGCTCTCTCACCGTGAAAGCTGACACAGTTACCCCGGAACTGTCACTGCGCGACCCCACTGCTCACCACGCCTCTGTCAGAGCAGCCAAGTAGGTTCGGCATGGCTTTGCTCATTGAACAGTGACTATGCGGCAGTGTCAACTGTTCAGTACTCAGACAGCAAACACAATCACATAAAGCTAACTAAGTGACCACGTGGACCACAGCCTTGTCTAACGCAATGGAACTGTGAGCCATGCCGTGCAGGGCCACCCAACACGGACGGGCCATGGTGGAGAGTTCGGACAAAACGTGGTCCACTGGAGAGGGGAATGGCAACCACTTCCGTATTCTTGCCTTGAGAACTCCATGAACAGTATGGAAAAGATATGACATTGAAAGATGAACTCCCCAGCTCAGTAGGTGAATGGAGAAACAACTCAAGAAAGAATGAAGAGATGGAGCTGAAATAAAAACAATACCCAGTTGTGGATATGACTGGTGATGGAAGTAAAGTCCAATGCTGTAAAGAGCAATACTGCATAGGAACCTGGGATGTTAGATCCACGAATCAAGGTAAATTGGAAGTGGTCAAACAGGAGATGACAAGAGTGAACATCAACATTTTAGGAATGGACCAGAATGGGTGAATTTAACTCAGATGACCATTATATCTACTACTACTGTGGGCAAGATCCCTTAGAAGGAACTGGATTGGCCCTTCAAAGAGTCCAAAATGCAGTTCTGGGGTGCAATCTCAAGAACAACAGAATGATCTCTATTTGTTTCCAAGGCAAACCATTCAATATCACAGTAATCTAACTTTATGCCCCAACCACCAATGCCGAAGAAGCTCAAGTGGAATGGTTCTATGATGACCTACAAGACCTTCTAGAACTAATACCACAAAAAGATGTCCTCTTCATCATAAGGGACTGGAATGCAAAAGTAGAAAGTCAAGAGATACCTGGAGTAACAGGTAAATTTGGCCTTAAAGTACAAAATGAAGCAGGGCAAAGGCTAACAGTTATGCAAAGAGAATACACTGGTCGTAACAAACACCTTCTTCCAACAACACAAGAGACGACGCTATACATGGACACCGCCAGATGATCAATACTGAAATCAGACTGATTATATTCTTTGCAGCTGAAGATGGAGAAGCTCTATACAGTCAGCAAAAACAAGACTGGGAGCTGACTGTGGCTGAGATTATGAACTCCTTATTGGCAAATTCAGATTTAAATTGAAAAAAGTAGGGAAAACCACTAGACCACTCAGGTATGACCTAAATAAAATCCTGTACAATTATACAGTAGAAGTGACAAATAAATTCAAGGGATTAGATCTGATAGAGTGCTTGAAGAACTATGGATAGAAGTTCATGACATTGTACAGAAGGCAGTGGTCAAGACCATCCTCAAGAAAAAGAAATGCCAAGAGGCAAAATGGGTATCTGAGGAGGGCTTACAAATAGCTGTGAAAAGAAGAGAAGCTAAAGGCAAAGGAGAAAAGGAAAGATATATACATCTGAAAGCAGAGTTCCAAAGAATAGCACGGGGAGGTAAGAAAGGCTTCCACAGTGATCAATGCAAAAAAATAGAGGAAAACAATAGAATGGGAAAGACTAGAAATCTCTTCAAGAAAATTAGAGATGCCAAGGGAATATTTCATGCAAAGATGGGCACAATAAAGGACAGAAATGGTATGGACCTAACAGAAGCAGAAGATATTAAGAAGAGGTGGCAAGAATACACAGAAGAACTATACAAAAAAGATCTTCATGACCCAGATAATCACGATGGTTTGATCACTCACCTAGAGCCAGACATCCTGGAATGTGAAGTCAAGTGGGCCTCAGGAAGCATCACTACGAACACAACTAGTACAGGTGATGGAATTCCAGTTGAGCTATTTCAAATCCTAAAAGATGATGCTGTGAAAGTGCTGCACTCAATATGCCAGCAAATTTGGAAAACTCAGTAGTGGCCACAGGACTGGAAAAGGTCAGTTTTCATTCCAATCCCAAAGAAAGGCAATGCCAAAGAATGTTCAAACTACCACCCAATTGCACTCATCTTACACACTAGCAAAGTAATGCTCAAAATTCTCCAAGCCAGACTTCAATAGTACATGAACCATGAACTTCCAGATGTTCAAGCGGGATTTAGATAAGTCAGAGATCAAATTGCCAACATCCACTCGATCATAGGAAAAGCAAGAGAATTCCAGAAAAACATCTACTTCTGCCTCAATGATTATGCTAAAGCCTTTGCCTGTGTGGGTCACAACAAACTGTGGAAAATTCTTCAAGAGATGGGAATACCAGACCACCTTACCTGCCTCCTGAGAACTGTGTGTAGGTCAAGAAGCAACAGTTAGAAGTAGACATGGAACAATGGACTGGTTCCAAATTGGGAAAGGAGTATCTCAAGGGTCACTCTGCTTATTTCACTTATATGCAGAGTACATCATGACAAATGATGGGCTGGATGAAGCATAAGCTGGAATCAAGACTGCCAGGAGAAATATCAGTAACTTCAGATATGCAAATGACACTACCATTATGGCAGAAAGCAAAGAGCAATAAAGAGCCTCTTGATGAATGTGAAAGAGGAGAGTGAAAAAGTTGGCTTCAAACTCAACATCAGAAAACTAAGATCATGGCATCCGGTCCCATCTCTTCATGGCAAATAGATGGGCAAACAGTAGAAACAGTGACAGACTTTATTTTCTTGGGCTCCAAAATCACTGCAAATGGTGACTCCAGCCATGAAATTAAAAGATGCTTGCTCCATGGAAGAAAAGCTATGACAAACCCAGACAGCATATTAAAAAGCAAAGACATTATTTTGCCGACAAAATTCCAATCTAGTCAAAGCTATGGTTTTTCCAGTAGTCATGTATGGATGTGAGAGTTGGACCATAAAGAAAGCTCAATTGATGAACTGATGCTTTTGAACTGCGGTGTTGGAGGAAACTCTTGAGAGTCCCTTGGACTGCAATGAGATCAAACCAGTCAATCCTAATAGGAAATCAACCCTGAATATTCACTGGAAGTACTGATGCTGAAGCCAAATACTTTGGCCATCTGATGGGAAGAACTGACTCCTTAGAAAAGACCCTGATGCTGGGAAAGATTAAAGGCAGGAGAAGGGGACAACAGAGAATGAGATGGTTGGATGGCATCACCGACTGGATGGACATGGGTCTGAGCAAGTTCCAGGAGGTGGTGAGGGACAGGGAAGCCTGCCATGTTGTAGTCCAAGTGGTCGCAAAGAGTCAGACATGACTGAGAAACAAGACAGGAAGCAACAAAGTGATCTCGAATTTAGTCAAAATCAGCACCACAAAGTTATGCCCTAAAACTAAAGCTCTTTATTAAACTATCTACAGTACAATTTGTATCTCCTATTTTGGAAATTAAAGATACTCTATAATATATATATGACTCGAGAAAGAACATGATTCCCTCACACCAAGCCCAATTTATTCTCAACTCATATTGAATTTAATAAATTTCATCTTTCAAGGTCAAAAGCATATCATTGGTTCATTCATCATACAATTCACCCAACAAATACTAAGTGCTAACTTTGTAAGTTTCAGGCACTGTGCTATAAACAAAGACTTTATCTACCATCTTCACAGCTTATCTTCAAGAAGTTAACAGTCTAGATGGAGAGAAGCTCTTAAACAACTACAACAAAATGAGATAAGGGATACTGCCACGGGGAAAGGAAGATGGAAATCAAGATGAATCAATCAGGAATCTGAAAAAGCATCTCAGGAGAAAATTAAAACAAGTTTTAAAGGATGGTTAAGAGTTTTTGAGATGGATTGGGGCTGGGAGATTGATAGAGCATTTCAGGAAGAGAACAGTATGCATAAAGGCATAGATTTGTAACATACCATGAAACTTTGGACAAGTAATTCAGTAACTCACAACCTGAAGTTGGAATAAGATCACAAAAGGAATTAGTTATTAGGCAGGAAGGTGGAATTGAGATTAAGCAGGACCTACAGGCCAGACTATAACAAACAAATATGGAACAACAGACTGGTTCAAAATTGGGAAAGGAGTGAGTCAAGGCTATATAGTATCACCCTGCTTTATTTACCTTATATTCAGAGTACATCATGCAAAATGCCCAGGTAGATGAATCACAAGCTGAAATCAAGACTGCCAAGAGAAATATCATTAACCTCAGATATGCAGATGACACCATCCTTATGGCAGAAAGCAAAGAGGAACTAAAGAGCCTCTTGGTGAAGG